CTCCTGCCTCAGCCTCCCAAGTAGCTGGGACTACAGGCATGCGCCACCATGCCTGGCTAATTTTTTCTATATATGTATTTTTAGTTGTCCAGATCATTTCTTTCTATTTTTTTTTTCTTTTTAGTAGAGACGGGGTCTCGCTATTGCTCAGGCTGGTCTGAACTCCTGACCTTGAGCGATCCACTCGCCTCGGCCTCCCAGAGTGCTAGGATTACAGGCGTGAGCCACCGCGCCCGGCCCCAACATAGTTCTTGAACAAGCTACTGTACCTCTTTGAGCCTCGGTTTCCTCACCTTAGAATGCAGGAACAGTAACAAATGCCCATCCCACAGAGCTGCTAAAGAGTCACACGAGATCATTAAAGGGTTTGGCACAAAGTCTGGCACATTGTAATTGTTCAATAAATGTATTAGCAAGATGTATTAGCAACTAGCACTGAGCAGTCAATACCTATTATCAGTCAGAAGATCTTCAGTCACTTTTTTTCCTGTGAATTTGTGTCTGTTCCCCATCTTGAAGTTGAGTGTTTTTCGGAGACGTCTTTGTCTACGAGAACAGTAGCCCCTGTAAGAAATGACAGACAAAACTTATTTGGCCAAGCTGAAAGCATTTGAGGTATTCTACTTATGGTTACTATAGATACCACACATCAGCTTACATTTACTGAACAACTAAAACATGCAGGGCAATAAGATTGGTATTACAGAAAAAATGAAGAGAGGACACAGTGTCCATTCTCAAGGAGTCCACACTCTAGTAGGGGAGGATCACGCAGATAAAACGGCAACCAAAAAAACAAGGCAAATGTCAAACTGAAGGGACCTGAGTAATCAATCATTCTCTTCTTGTTAACACCTTAGGCTGGAGTGGACTTATGGTGGGCCTTGAAAGAATGAGTAGGATTCTAACGGATGCAAAGGAGCATCCTGATGACAGCGAAGACGTGGAGAGAGGAAACGCAAGCATGTCTGAACAAAAGTACAGAAGTGAGGAGGCCAATTAGGACATTACCAGGAAACACTATAAATATCACCTCTATGCCAAGCCTCTCTCCTCTGTGCTCATGCAGCCCTATATTCTTACTTCTATTACAGAGTATGGCATTATAATTATGTTCTTACACAGCTGTTCCACTAATATAAACCCCTTTAGTGCAGGGAGGATTTTATTTTTAAATTTCTCCCAATGCCTTAGCACAGTGCCTAGCACACATATATTTAATAAATATATTTTGACTAAATTAGTGTAAAAAATACACAAAAAATTTTATTGACCTTTAAATCAAAATAACGTAGCATACAATTTATAATACAAAATGATATGTAAATATTATTTCATCATCTCAGTCTTAAAGCTATCAGGGCATAAGTTATTAAAAAGAAGAAATAATAATAATCTAGGTTGAATCTATGAATTGGACTTTTTCCCCTCAATCCCTAAGATTAGCTTTAATTATCATATACCCTTTTACATAAAAATCAAATAGAACATTCATAC